TTTTTTTTTTTATCAGACTACTAATTACGAACTTAACTTAAGTTCTTGAGTCTATCATAAAAAAGTTTCTTTATCAGATTACTAACTTCATTAAGTTCTTGAATGTATTTGCAACATTGTACATGTTCCATTTGAACCCTCAATTCTTTGACAAGCAAGAACAAATCAGTTTGACAATGACCAACAAGGGTTGTGGTGGAGTGGTAAGTATTCCTTCATCCTTAATCAAGAAGTCTTGAGTTCGAGCCCCCTTGGGTACGGAGTCACTTTTGTTAGGGAGCGCTTTACCCCCAATGTGAAACTTTCCGGTGCGAATTCAAATTTAAACAGGCTCCAATGTGGGTATCCGGACACCGGGTGAAGAAAAAAAAAAGCTTGACAATGACATAACAGTCTATAAATTTTACCAAGTTGATTTTACACTTGTCCAACTCCTGTTCTGCAATTGTGAGTGCAGTCAAAGTATCACATAGTTCACCCTCCAAGTAGGGTGAGCATAAACACCGGAAAATTGAAATAGAATTAATTCAATTTTTCAATCTTTTTTATTTTTCAGTGTTTCGATTCGACTTCGGTGTTCCCTTTTTGGAACTTCGATTTTTTCAGTTCCGTGTAAGGGTCACGTTTTTTCAGTGCACCGAAAAATTGAAATTTTATTAACTAAAATTTAAAATTATATATTTTGTTTGAGGCCAATATTAAAAGATGATTGATTAAAAATTTAAAAATTCAAAATATAAAGTGATTTGTTTTGTTATAACTTATAAATATATAACCATGTTAACTGGAATCGGCCAGAAGGGCCATTTAATTACGTGATAACTAGACCAATGTAACATCTTGCTTTATTTTGTATGCAACTTATGTTATATTAGGAGTATTTGACAAGTACAATCTTCTAGTATAGATACTTTTCTTCTTTGAAGATTATAAAGCTAAGTAAATACTTTTTTTGAATGTAATACCTCCTTACCGCATCTCGAATATTAGGACTATAAGATGAAATAGGCATTCGATCTTTGGGATCTGCTTCAAGAGATTTAAAATCAAGCATACTATCCATATTTGAAAGTGGAAAAGAATTTGTATGTCTTTGAACTTCCGGAGCAACTTGTGAACTCACAAATGGTTGATTAGAGCTAGAACTTGGTTGGCCATCTTTTGGCTTTGGTAACTTGATGAGAAACTTATCCATTTGTGATTTGATGAATTGATTGTAAGAATTATTTTACCTACAAAATTAAATATTCACACTTCTATTCAATCTTATCAAAACAAAATAATTTTTAAAAAATGTTAGCACAAATAACAAGTTTACTAATAAAAGAATCACAATTATTAGATAACTATTTAGAAATCAAGAAATTCTTATAAATTTAAATATTCAAGCAATCAAATAATGGAACCACTTCATAAATCAAGAAAAACATATAAAACAAATGAAGTACATTAATAAATAATTTATTTATTTTTAGATAGCATACCTTGTTACTTGTTCTCAAATCTCACTTCTCCTTCACCATGAACAACAAAGTGGAAATGTGGAATGAAGCCAAAAGAAGAACAATATGATGCCTTTTACTCCTTTTTACCTTTTAGTTTAGGGCTTTGAAAAGTCAAAAGAAAAAGTTAAAATAAATAAATAAGAAAAACGTCTAAAGAAGGAAAGGAGAAAAAGAAAGTAAAAAATATAATTTGACTTTATTGACACTTCTAGCTGAAGGTCTAGACATAGCTAATGCAACCTAAAAATATGGGTATTTGAACCTCTTTTTATTTATAAATTATTAAAAAGATCTATGAAAAGTGGCACATTTTGTTATATTAATTAAAAATTAAAAATATTAATGTGGATAGAAAAAATTGAACCACAAATCTATAAGTTATGCACCCCCTATTTATACATACTTATCAATATACTAGAGTATTCTTTTTAACCTTGGGTTCACCAATACAAATTTAAAAAGATAATTAGAAAAATAGTAGTATTATATAGGGGTTAGGAAGGGGAGGATGGGTGCATGTGAACCCACTCCCCTTCATGTACATATGCCTCTGAGTGTGGAACTGTGAGAGATTGGTTATGGATGATTTTATTATGTGAGGTAGGAATAGATCGAAAAAAATATAGAGGAGATGTGATTAGACATGACATGAAGCAGATCCAACTTACTAAGAATATGACTTTAGATTTTAAAAAATGGATAAAGCATTAAGATAGAAGGTTAGTAGATAGCAATGTATTGTCTTGTTATCCATTCATACGGGTAGTATTGCTCTCGTAGGTTTTGGTCCTTTTTATAGTTTCTGTTAGTATTATTTGTTGTCTTATAGTTTGACTATTATGTTATATTATTGTAGTTACTGATTTTTTGTATTTTTATTACTTTTTCTTTTCCTTTTTCTAATTAAACTATTTTGGATTATATTTTTTCTTGAA